TTAAATTTTGTTGATTCAGATTATAAAGCTTGAAGAAATTGATTTGAGGGGGTTTTTGGTTCTTGTAGAGTCTGATTTGTTGTGAAATTGGTGTTTGGTTTTAGTGTGAGATTATGCAGAAGAAACAAGAGATCTGTGAGTATAGAGACAAACTAGACAAAACCTTATCTTCTCCTGAGCTAACAAATCAAGAAACTCTCAAATCTCTTCTCAGGAATCAGCTTTGTTCCTCTCAAGGTTTTTGATTCTAAAAATCCGATTTTGTTTTTCTGCTTTTACTGTTTTATCAATAAGCCACTCTGAGATTTTTTGCTTTATGTTGGTGTGATGATTTTTGTAGAGTGTAATGAGAATATATTGGAGAAAAGAACAGCTGATGTTTCAAAGCTACTTAGCAAGCTTAGGAGTGTATCAATGGCGGATCATCAAGTATCTAGATCAACCAATGATGATGCATCATCATATGGTGATTGGAAAGTATGTTTTTTTTTTTTTTTGTGATATCAGATTCTTATTTGGACACAATTGATCTTGGATTGTAATGATGATGTAGGAAAAATGTGTTTGTTTTTTTACAGTTGAAACATGATTATGAAGATTGCCGTGTTATGTACCGTGAAGGGCTTGAAGGAAGTCCTTTTCACACTATGCTTGTTGAAGGTTACATGGATGGGCCTATCCATGACTGTAAGTTTTTATTTTAGTATTTAGACCGTAGAATCGAAGTTTTATAAAGGATTCTGCGGCTGATGTTAATTGGGCTTGTGATGATGCAGGTTTGTGTGTTTCGTGGGAAGCAACTCTATACAAGAAGTGGTAAGAGTCTCAAATATTTTAGATTGTGAATAACATGTCTCATTGGACAAATGTTTACTTTGCGCATTGTTTATGTATATGTATTATAGGTGGCCACAATTTTCATTTCCGCCGTTTAGGATCTTACAAAGCAAATGCTTGCAAAAGGTCGGGATCGGTGAACAGATATGTTTAGTGAGGTAGGTTCACTTTGAAAATGAGGAGGAATTTTGTTTTTCGGTTTCTTTGTAACCTATTTTATTTTATGAACCTAGTCTTGAAATTTTATATTGTGGGAAGAAAGGATGAAGGTACCGTGGCCATTGTCGGACAGAGAGATTCTCGTGCACTATTTCATTTTTGAGTACTTTAAAGATGACTTAGTCGTCATCCTTCTGAACACGGTAGAGCAAATTCCTTTGTGTGTTTTGTCATCTTACCATTGGTATTAATGTGACATTATTCTGAAATCTTGCAACTTTTAGATCTCTGATGTAGAGAGCAACGGAGTTTCCTCTAAGGACATCTCCAAGAACGTTATACCTGAATCACCGGATGCAGTGAGGATTGATCTTGTAGGCGGATTTGTCTTACAAAAGGTTACTCCGCAGAGGAGTTACTTCAGGTTAGTGATCGTTGTAGTATTATTGCAACATGTTGATAGTCTTTGGTTATGAAGCTTAAAAATCTTGCTTTTATCGAATTTTGTAGGACGATAGCGGATATTGATATAAAGCTAGACTTTGTCCCTCCATCTCTTATTAATTTTATATCTAGGCAGCTCATCGGTAACGGTTTCAGACTCTATAAAAAGGTCAGAAAACTTGGTTTTTTATTTAGCTTTTTAGCAGTGTCGAATATGTAACTTGTGTGATATCGTTTTCTTATTTGAATGTAACAGTCAGTTGCTTCGGTAGCTAAATTTGATGAAGACTACACCAGAGCTTTAGCTGATCCTTTGTACACTAAAATACGCAAAGCTCTGTATTCAACTGATAAGGCAATTGAGGAAGAACCAAAGTTGGAAATCAATGAAGTCGATGTCGAGTCTCTGCCAAAGAAGAACGAAGATGCGAATGAAACTGAACCTGTCCGTTGCAGAAAAGCTGCTCTTGAGATT